ATTTTGGATTTCTGTCTATCCTAACCAATACCAAAATAAGGCATTCTTTTTCAGCTTTCTCTCTCAGTGCGCCACCGGGCCGGCCCCTAACGTAATAACCTTTTATGCCTATTCAATTGATGAAGACCCTTTACCCTGTTTCCATTCCAATCACATTTTTAACTTAAGAAAGATGCTCTAAATCTTTTTGGATTATTGTACCCTCTAAGAATATATTGACAACTGGGGACATTTTTTAATATAATTGCTCATTCATACAAAGTTTTAAAACATTTGGCATTTCAGAGAGTTCATGGCCTTCTTAAAACCCATTCATATACTCGCAGTTAAGAACTCCTCCAATAGAAGCGCAATGCATTAAGGAATATTGGGACTACTATGTATGACAGAGTAGTTGGGACATGATAGCTCATAAATCTGAAAGTTATCTTTTGAGAAGGAAGATTGTTTTGTTTTGTTTTTAATGGGAAGAAGATAATAGATTTTAAAGAAATATATCTCATTGCCCTTGGAGAGAGAAAGACAAGAATATTTAGAAAAGTATTAGAATGGGCAATTCTTAAGTTTGCCTCCTCTTTTTATACTTCCTCACCATATTTGCCTTGGCCAGGTCATCACTGGGTGTTAGAGGTAGTTGCAAATACTTAAATCCTGTACCCAGTGCTTCTGAAATTCATGCCTCCTCTTTTTATACTTCCTCACCATATTTGCCTTGGCCAGGTCATCACTGGGTGTTAGAGATAGTTGCAAATACTTAAATCCTGTACCCAGTGCTTCTGAAATTCATGAATATGTTCCCCCACCCCACCCCACCCTACCCTCAAGTAACTTTTTTGTTCATTTTGCTGTCAGCTGGTAAATTTGGAACTTCAAGTGTGTGATGAACCGTTTATTACACATTTCATTATCAGCTTGTGCAAGGAAAGTGACACCACACAATTAGGTGTGGGAAATGGCTGAAAATACATTTTTGTAGCTAGTTTGAAATGAGCATTCATATGTGTTTTGGTCAAAGTAAATTTTGCTATTTCAAATGGTGAGATAAAAGATTATTGCAGTAAAAAAAAAATCTCAGGTCCTCAATCCAGTGCTTTCAGGCTAATGTCTTTTAGATTACTGCTGTTCTTAAATTGCTGAAGAAAGAGGTCAGTTATGAAATCCGTAGTTTGATATTAATGCCCAGTGACTATAGAAAGGGGTAGGGGAGGTAAATTTGAAAAACTATAGAACTCCAGAGATTTCATACAGGCTGTTTAATCCAATGCTACTCAAAGTATAGTGTGCCTATTCATGCCAGTCCACAATTTGTTTTCTGCATGCAGCAAATTAAAACAGAAACCAAAAATAAACATTTAGAAACCTTTATAGTATTTCGGCATTTCAGTAAAATGTTTGATAGTTTTGTGTTATGTAAAAATATTGGCCCAGTACAGATTGGAAAATTTTTTTAAAAGTACATCTTTGCTACAGTTTGAGAGGCACTGATCTAATCAATGCTACCTCCTAAATCAGGACTTTCTGTTCAATCCTAGGGAAAATGGCCTGTGAGCTCTCTTCAAAGACTGTTAGCAATGGAGAGTTTCCTGTTTTGCCAGGCAGCTCACTCCACTACTAGACAGCTCTAACTATGGGAAAGTTCTTCCGTACATTTAGGTGAAATCTGTCTTCCTGCAGTGGAGAGGTTCAACCTTTTTCCATTTATACTATTACCGAGCAAGGGCTCACTGCCTGATGCTCACAGAAGCCAATACCATGGCACTAGTTTTTGTGAGAAGAAAAGGCTTTATTGTAAGGTTAGCCAGCAAGGAGATAGGAGGCATTGTCAGATGTGTTTCCTAGAACCAGGGGCTGAATGGGATTTTTAAGAATCAGAGACTGGGGATTGGCTGGCTCGTGTTCAAATTATATGACTAGGCCAAGGGTGATTAGCTGGGCCTGAGTCAGGCCATATGACACAGGCAAGGGCTGATTGGTTGGGCCTGAATCCAGTCCTTTGGTTACACAGGTGGAGGATTTTCACATTCCCATGTTGCCCAAGGCCATCTGGAAGGCAGGGCTCATGTCTCTGCATGTGTTCAGCTTACATTCTGCAAGACAACTTGTAAAACAACTTAAAATAGAGAAATAGAAATATTTTCAGCTAGTTTAACCAGTTTTCAACTAGTTTTATACAGTTTCAGTACACCCCCATCGGTAATCATGCAATATTCTCTTCTTTAGTAGTGTTTTAATCAAAATTAAGTTAATGGATTTTCCCTAATTGCTGTCATTGTAAAAGAAGTTGATTTTGACATGAAGCCCCAGTCATAATATATTACAATTTATTTTACAGTAAAAAATATATTAGTTTATTATGTTTAAAATATGTATTATAAATATTTAAAGAAGGATGTGATCACCAAGAGTCAATATGGATTCACTTAGAAAAAGCAATGTCTAATTATTTTGATTTCCTTTTTTGATAGACGTACTAGACTATTTATTTCAGAGGGCTCATCTTTCTTTTCCCTTCATTTCAACATTTTAATTAGATTTAAGGCTTTGTATTTGAGGGGTTTTTTTGGTAAAGAGATCATTTTGTTTTATCATGCATTGATTTTCCTTGATAAATGGTCAGATCCTTAGAAGTGAAGAACATGGCTTATTCATCTTTATAACCTATATGGCTGACATATAATAAACTCTAAGTGGTTTTGGATGAGGGAATGAATGAATAAGCAAACAGATAAAAAGGCATACACATAAAATCTGTAGGTAAAATAGATAACATACATTTACGTTAATGATAATACATTAAATGATCATATCAAAATTTTAAAAGTCATTAGGTTGATAAGAAACATTCTGTAACTATTCTTTCATTCATTCAGAAATTATTTATTCAGTGTCTACCTTGTTCCAGAAATTATGCTAAATCTTGGGACTATAACTGTGAAACAAGACAACTAGATCCCTGTCCTCATGGAGCATACATTCTAATGGAGGGGCAGACAAAAAACAAGTAAACCTATTTCAAGTTGTAATAAGTGCAATAAAGTATGTAATAGACTGAGGTATAGAGTGTAGGAGAGGGGTGATTGGGAGGACCTCTCTGAGGAGAGCTAAAGGATGAAAGGGAGCTAGCTGGGTGAAGGTGATAGAAAAGTAGAGGGGCTAGCATGTGCAAAACCTCTGAGGTAGGAAAGAATTTAATGTGCTTCAGAACCTGAAAGAAAACTAGTGTGATAGGAGTGTAATAGGCAAGAAGAGAGGTAGCATGAGTTGAGGTGATAACCAGATTTTGAAAACTAGGTATACATTATAAAA